TAGAGGAAGGCACAAGTCTGCAAAAGAAAACAGATCCACCAGCAGATGCACTCATATTTTATTGTCAATTAAAATGACTGCATTCACTACTGTGTCTTGACTACGGCCCCCTAGGGGAGTCCAACTCCATTAATCCCATTTTTCTTTACCATTTAACTATGCATTTAAATAGCATTATATGTTCTGTGCTCTAAATCTCAACAAGTAAAAAACAGGTGTTTAGTAATACTTTCTAAAGGGAATAAAATCATAAATAATTTTGCTTTCTCATTTTATTCTGATTGAAATGTGACTTTTTGCTTTAGGGAATGCACAAAGACAAATTAAAAATCGTACGGAGCCTGTTACAAATCACAAAAAAGGTAAAAGCTATTTTTTCTTTATTTTTATAAATGTATCTTTATTGACAAATAATTTAATGTAGTTCGAACTGCAGTATGAATGCCTGTAATATCTTTTAATGTATCTTTGAAATATTTGAGGAAAAAAACAGTCCAGAAGTTGTTGATGTTTAATATTTACAACATTACAATCTATAACTGCAATCTATTTCATATGTACATCTAAGGCATTTTTTCTTCCATTATTTTGATTGATTATAAGCATTTTTTGGTATCCGAATCAAATAAACAGATGCTGTGTACTGCATCTCTGATGCTACCAGAATATCAGTGTGGCCTCATTAGGATATAAAGTTTTTTTTACTGTGCTTTGTTATGAGATACAAAGTAAAAGCAACATTTTCACTTGATTACACATTTCGCTGGAGCTTCTACAGAAAAACTTTCCTCTGACTTACCCTTTTAGTGCTCAGTAAGGAAGCATTGGATTGACCATTTTAGGTTAATAATTAAACTGTATAAGGGCTAAAGGAATACATTTGTTTGACAGGGTAGAATCCTGTCACAGTATAGCAGCCAGTCACGGTAATATTACATAGGCATATTCTGCACAAAGGCATAAAATGTAGGCTTTTCCTTAACACTGAAGTGGAAGAAGTGCTTACAAAATTGATGGATGCAGGCAGTGTTTCCACTGGTAACTAACTGGCTGTGATTCAAATACCAGCAAGATAACATGAACATTTTAACAAATCTTTTTAAAATGAAAAAAAGAAAACCAATGCAGAACAGATCTTTTCAGTTTCCAAAATCTGTATAATTTAATTCAACTCACCAAATAAATTATTATTTTTAGCAGGTATATGAGATTTTTTCCTTGTCCATAACAAGGTCTCACTGAAATTTCACTGCAACACCTTCAAATAGTGATCACCACTCTACCTTATTTTTTGAATCCTTTTTACTTAAGCATTGATAAGCAATTTGTCTACTTTAATTTGATCAAATTTAAACTGAACTCTTTCAAATCAGTCACTTTTAATTGAAATAAATAAGCAGTAAAATGGGCCTGATCTTTTGATCTGGGAGTCCTTGGTGGGGATCAAGTACACCACAGACAAGCCTCAACAAAGACAAAATCCTAGCTCTCATGCAACAATATGTTCAGTTCCCAGTCACAGTATCAATCTAGGAGACTGAGTCTCTCTTGAAAAACAAAATAGGATCTGTATGGTTAAGTCTACAAGTCTACAATGCCATTCCTTTAAAGAGCCTGTTTGCACATATACTGGCTTATCAAAATAGGAGGCCTTGTGCAATCCCCATTAGCCTAAATTATTTTGTAAATGCAGTTATTCTTTCTATCTCATCCTTTATGACACCCCTGGTGATAGGTAAATCTATGTGGCAATCATCATTGCAATAATGCAAATATGTTTCTACACACTCCATGATTGCTAAATTATTAAGATGTTAATACCCCGTCATGTATTTCATATTCCCCATTAATGACAGTCCTAAATACTGAATTAATTAATTCAGAAACATCATAAATATGGAATACGTCAGAGGTATTACAGTATTAGTTTTAAGTAACTGTCATCTCTCACCACTAAGATGTAAAGAGCGACACTATTAAAAATAGTTATTAAAAAAATCGAAATCTGTGCATATTATTATTTTGCATATTTATTTTTACTTTTTTCCCTTGACTTTAGAATTTCCAATACTACATTCAAGTAACATTAGCTCGACCACCACTAAGCAATGCAGTGAGTCCTGATTTCAGAGCCTAATCCAGATAATCTCAGCTCCTGATTAAAATAACTTGGTTGCTCAGTCAATATGTAGCTGTCACCACAAATTAAACCTGAATCATTTCCACTTGACTTTGCTAAGGTTTTAAGTCCTTCCGAAGGGATCACTGTCACTCAAAAAAGCTCAAATGATTCTGTACATAGCTAAGAAGCATTTATACATACACAATTTATGTAAAATGTCTTTAGAATACTCAGGATTGAAAGGTGCTATATAAGAATAATTTTTTTCCAAAATTGTGCAAAACCTGGATACATTTATAGACCAAAATAACTTTAAGTGACATATACAAAAAGCTGTCAGATGCTGTAACTCTGCTTTTTCTACAACAGAAATCTGAAAATGGCAGGCTCCAAAGTAAAGACTGAGATAACTTGAGGAATAAAGTAATCTAGAAAGATTTTGGCAAGTGCAATGAGTCACAGACTTCATTCAGTTGATGCCTTAAAAAGGACATGCAACCAAATACTAACGTTTACACTCTGAGATTTCATTAAAGTGGATGTCTCCCCATTTTATACTCACTTGGTATCACTGGATTGAACAGACTATATATTATTGTTCCATTATGATCAAGTGTTTGCATAGAAGTAACAAAAAATAAAACACTATTATACATATCATTCATATTAATCTCATGATCACAATTTGACAGAAAATGATTAAGGTTTTCTTTGTCATCTTACTGTACTCTACATTCTAATAAAGACTGAAACTGTTCAGATTCAACTACAGTAAAGTTGAATAACAACACTAACTACACTTGAGCATAAACCAGCCCAACTATAAACCTCAAATCCAACTGTGCTATAATGTTGCATATTTTTATTTTCTTATCTTTTCATATTTTTTTGCAAGCAACTAATCAGTGATACACCATGTTTCACACCTGCCAGACGGGTTAAGTCTCCATTATTTCTGTATGACTAAAACATGTTCAAAACCACACATAAAACAGCCCTAATCAACAGTATGTTTGAATCTTAAATGCAATACTGCTTCTAAAACACTTTCACCGCACTGTAATTCAGGTGCAACATTGGAGACGATGAAGTTGTTCTGTGACAACATCCTCAATAAAAGTCAATACAAAAAGACTTAATTTCTGTTACTTTGAAAATCTGTCTACATCAGATCACACATAGCAATATAGAACTTATTTATTAATTATTCCACATACTTTTATTATGGTCACATATTGTATAATGTCCTATAATAGAGATACGTATTACAAAGTCATTCTTAACATGACTTTGTTCAAGACTGATTAACAGTGTATATCTTTTACAGTATACATTATATCCCTGTCTTTTTTTACTTACTGTACCATGACAATAGTGATTATATTACTTATAATACATCTAAAATTCAACCCATAAATTGATGTGCTTTGTAAAGTGATAGTACATGGTGTTAAGAATGATGTACACAATCCAAACATTATACTCATTCTAATTAACATTTGGTATATCTTTAGAAGAGTGTATAGTTTAATTGATATATATATAGATTATTTTTATAAACTGATAAAACTCCATTATAGATTGACAGAGATAGATATTCATGAAGTGAAAGAACATTCAGCACAATTTCCCATTAGCCAGTAACAGCTAGTATCCAGATGCACCAAAAATCTGAGCGTAGGAACCACAAGGCTGGCATTGAATATAGTATCAGTTATTAGGATCACCTGAACATGTTCCAGCATATTGATAGGATAATGAATATTAAACATTAGCTCATTACAGACAGGCTCCACTCCAGTTTTATACAGTAGCAGCCTTGGAGTCATAGCTGGCTATGTGTCAGTCTATAAAGTCCAGTCTACAAGCACTAGTTGCAACTAGAGGCATGTGCAACCATATGTGTTGCATAAAAACAGTTTCAAAAGCCTTGAGTATAAACCTTTCAAACTTAGAAATCAGCACCTACAATAGCACCACAAAAAATACACAAATACCCATCAGGACGTTTCTAACACTTTGTTAGAAAAAAATACTGCACAAGATATTGTGAGTTTATAAGACGTAGAGATAGTAAACATTGGGTTAAATAGAGCTCACAACCTTGTTTCCACAGAGGCTTGTATAGTATATGCATTATATTAAAACTAAATTTCCCTTTTCCTAAGTTTTCTTATTTTGCCTTTATTTTCTTATCTGATTTGAGTAACAGAAACAAACACAGAGGTAGTGAACCAAAGACTGAAACATTATCCTTTTACAACTTTCAGCACAAGAACACTGCCTTTCTCTCTGCTTCTTTCAAATGTCTCAAGTAACAACTGTGAGGCTATAAAGCTGTCATTTAAAGCAATGGGGGAAACTGGTTTACTTCAATCCAAAAATGAAATGTTATTAAAACCATTTACAGCCATTTTAGAAAAAAAAACAGTAAAACGTTTAAGTCATTCAAACAACAAAGGACTAGAAATCTATAATACATGTAATTCACAGTTTCCTCAAATAAAAAAAAGTATTTTTTTCTTCCATAGAAGTGTAGTTCTTAATGTATCTATATTTTATCATCTCTTGTTGGGCTTACGAGACCAGATGGTGCTCTTTCCTCAAGGGAAAAAAAACTCTTAATTAGTAGACTAACTTGTTGAGAAACCATAGAATTTTCAATGATTCATATCTTTCAAGACCAAGGTATGTTTTGTTAAAAGGGGTGCCTGAAAACTACTTACACTATTGTAGAATCACATGTAAAACGAGGCAGATCAAAGTCATTTCCATACTATTCAAAAATTTTATGTAATGTACTAAATATTTATTCATTTTAAATCAGCAAAATAAATCATACATGTTTTTAAAAACAACACAGTCAGGCAATAATTACCATTGCTGCCTCTGTGTGTTGGGTTCAATTCTGGACTTGTGGTGCTATGCAGTATATCTGGTGTTTGTTCTCCATGTGTCTGCTGGGTTTCCTCTGCTCGACCCAGTTTCCTCCACAGTCCGAACACATACAGGTAGGTTGCAAACAACCTTCAAGCATTAGGAAGAATGAATTAGACACAGGGCACCAAAGCTTAATTTCATACACATCTACAGATCATGTCGGACACTGTGATCTTGACAACACTTCCTACAAGAGGTATGTGGACAACCTCCAAGTTTATCTGCCTCTCCAGAAAACCTCCTGGAACAAAACTGTATTTAAAGTGAGCCATAATGTGATCTATTATGATGACAGATCATATTACTTTTTCTGATGTTATCAAGCAAGCATATTGCATATTGCAGAAATTAGGTCTAAAAGCTCTCAAGAAGAAGAATGAACAATGTGACTGGAAAGGCCAAATTTAAATGTAAATATCACATCCATTTGTATCTAAATATCAGTAATGAGAGGTGTACAAAGACGAAAGCACTTGCCCTATTTCCAAGCAATGGGACAATCTGTTAACTTCATCTGTTAACAGAAGCTGGGCATGTTCGCAAAATACTGCTGTGAACATATATCAAGGTAAAATTGCAACCATGGCATTTTATTAACAATTAATCTGAGGCTATATTTATAAAGCCTCTTTCACCTCAACGGATTGCTGTATTGTAAGCAGTATTTTTTTTAATCCTCTAATAGTTTAGCAAACTCTAGTGCGAGACTAGAGCATTCCAGATCTAATTATTTTGTCCATTTTTGAATTGCAAGAAATCTATCTGGGGTATAATCTGAAATCTATCTGGATTCCCCTTTTAATAACTTATTCCTTTTTCATAGGCATGTCTCATAAAAACAAGAATAGGAGCCAATCTCCTGCCCTGTAAACTACATCTGTACCTCTTGTAGAAACCCAGGTAGAATTGATTGTTTTAATCAGTAATACAATGAGTCTTTGTGAAGTACACTGTTAAAGTAGAGGAAAATAAATAGAAATATACAGGCCCCCGAATAAAGTGACAAGCTGTCTGATTAAAAAAAAGCTTTACTATTTTCTATTTATTTATGGTCCGTTACAGTGTAGTAAACAATATTGCAAGACTATTTACATAAATAATTTTGGTTATAGAAAAACATGATTAAAAATAATGCTTATGTACATACTGTAGGACACATACTATAAGTGAAAAGAATGTACAAAATTATCAATTAGAGTAAATATCTAGAACAGAGAGTGCTCCATATTCCACCAGAGAGGAAGTTAGTCAGTGTTTTCTATTCCTGGGTATAGCAGGCTGCTGAATGTCTGACAGCTCTAGAACAGTAATGCCATGTTTACTACTCATTCTTAAGAAATATTTCAGGACATTGAGAGAGGCTGAGACGTTATTTTTTCCTCTTGTAGGCTTGCATCTGAACATCTTTTGTCAGGGAAAGTTTTACTTTGTAGAAAATCAAGATGTGTATCTTGTTTACCCAACAAAATATGGTTAGGTTTGAATTGCTTTTGGCCCTAACAAAATACATTCAACGGTCATAATTTTTAATACAACGGCCATAAAAAGTATCACTGTAATGTGAATACTCCAGATTTTACAGCCAATTGTTGTTCATAGTGCAGTTACTCTTTCTACTGCAGAAAAACCCTTCTCAAAATTGGGAGTCCATCAGCTGAATACTAATATTTACATCCAGGCTGAAAATGCATAACATGCACTGCACTATGCACTTCTGAATGAAACATGAAACAGTTGCAAAAAATGTACAACATTTCAACGCAAATATTAAATTACTCGACCATTTCAAGAAGTTCACTATCCAAAGATTCTTAAGTGCCAATGAAATTGCTATAGTCATATATTAAAAGAAACCCAACATAATCTAATTACTCTCTTCACCAGACCCTTATGAAAGGGAGGACTGATCCACCTGATGCCATTGGGCTAATAAACAATCTAAAATACTAATTAGTGTTGTGGCTTGAGGGCTTGGGGAGAGGAAGCTTTTAAAGCTTTTAAAGAGTTCAGAATTGTAGTGGCAGCTTATGCAGAGGAATTAGTAGTGTAAAGAGCTGAGGAACATGCTTAGAATAAATTTTCAGTAAGCCATTAAGAATGACTGTGGTGCAGCTACAAGCAACCCCCTTCCCCCGTGGGATCCCCGGGCCCTCATCCTAATTAATGACAAAAGGACATTATGCCATTTTTCTGTGACCTTGCGTGCCATGGAATGTCACTTAAACTATGGCTGCAATGGATTAAGTGTTACCCAGCAAGATGGGGAAAATACACTAGCGGCTTGTCAACAGGGTAGCTACTGACTGAGAAAATACTATCGTCAATCCTAGTGGCCTTTGACCTGCATTGCCATGGTGACCCTTTTAAATGGCTCCCCCACCCCCACCCACCTCTGTCTAGATTTTGATTTGAAAAATACCTCATCATTAACGGTATTAGTGACAGTAATATTAATTAGCCCGTTCATGATGATCACTTTCTATTTCCATAAAAGACCAGAGCATATTTCTTATTTTGTGGTTTACTATGCAAGATAAATTGCATAACAACTTGTAAACATATAAAGTAAAAACTGATGCATCCTTTTTGCTTACTTAAATAATCTAAATGTGACTCATTAATCAGCAACTAATTATCTATCTCAACATACGATTTTGTGATTATTTTAATAATATATAAAAACATGTTGCCTTATTAATTATTGTATGGATCCATGTTTTTCGTAGCGCACTGAGCTTTACCAGTCTACTAAGCAAAAATTATCGACTCAGTTACACAAAACGCTTTATTGTAGCATTTTTCTGGGTCCTATTTTTATCTTATCGCGTCACCGACATTGTACTGCAAACCAAGCAAAGAGCTAAATCAAAAAGCTTTTTCTTTATGTATAGATCGACGGTTGCTAATTATACAGTGTTAAGAAAATCGTATTCTGAAATTTCAGTCATGATTAGACTGAGAATGGTGAAATAACATGAAGTTAGTCATCACAGAGAGCTTTTGAGAGATTTGGTTACACCTCTCCCGGTGTCTTTGCTAACGGCTGTCAACAGACAATTGACTCACAGAGGAAAATATGTCGTGTGCTTAATAAGAAATGCTTTAAATAACAGTATTAATTTAATATATTTTATATAGTTATTAATATCTATGATATTACTGTTAAGATGCCTGAATTCAATGCGCATTTCCTACACACAACTTTTGTGTCCAGATAAATCACGCTGCAGAAGACACCAGCCCCTTTTGAAATGTGTATATATACGTACATTGCATTAACTTTACAAAACCCAAGTACAATAAATGGTAAATTAATGTATAAGAAACAATGTAACTATAGATCTTCAATCTTATTTGCGCACGACCACCTATACAGAAGCAAATTATGCAATAAAATATGTATCTTACGACATAATACTACTTAAACACCACACGTATAGAATTTTAGGTTTGTTTAAATAATTTGGTTGTTTAGATTGGGGAGAGCTGTTTCAGATCGAAACCAGATTACTGTTGTCATTACAAAATTATGATGGTGCTAAAGTGTTTAATTTTGGCCTTAGTCACACTTACCTGTAGATCGAAATAGGTTAGTGCTTCAAATCACACTACAACAGTAACAAGAAAATACAGCCTTCCTGAACCTTAATATACAGAAGCGACAAGAGTCGCATCGTGTCTGATAAAGGCATCACGCCAGGACAACTGGGCATTTTTATCAGCTCAGTGGAAAATAAATAAATAATAAACCAAAATCACACTAACACATTAGCACGATGCCGTACACACGTTCCAACAAACACATTGGCTAAAATAAATCAATTAAACCGACTTTGTATCATCTCCGTGCACCAGAAGGTGCGCTTCACTTAAAAATAAGAGAATTTAAGGAGCAGAGTTTTTGCATTCCAAGGCACTTCGGATTAGCCATCAGTAGCTCTTTACTCACCAGTGCTACACACACATAGTTCCTGTGTTTCTGCTTCCTGCTAAATGATCTGTTTATAATATTGGCATGAATGTAAATAATCCATAAATAAAGATGTTAGATTAAAAAAAATAAAAATACCCCGTTTAAAATGGATCTTGATAAGACTTTCAATGCCAGTATCCACAAGAAAAGGAAAGTGTATTGTCTTGCACTGCTGATATGATTTGTAAAAACAGGGATCCGATTAAACGCCTTGGTTTAAAATACAAATTCCCAATCCATATGCTGAGTCCTCCTGATTGAAGTGGTCCTCAAGAGTACATTCCCAAACAAATCATTCGGATACTCTCCTCTTACTCGTGGAACGGTGTTTTATTTAGTTAATCCACCACAAAAACGGATTTAAATTTGTTTAAATAAGAACTGGCACAGAATCGCAGGCTGCTAGCGAGCACACCTCTTAAAGAAGCTAAGAGCACTGAAGCGGAGCAGTAAAGCAGGATACTACTGAGATGGGAGGGTTTGAAAATAAACCAGCTCCCACAGTCGGCAGCATCATGTGTCCTTAAAGAAAAAAAATCGAGAAAAACACTCATCACGTCGGTGAGGTGCCAGAAGGACAAACCAACATCCTTTTAACCGCGAGCAGTAGGCTCTCTACAGAGATTAGCTAAATGCGATATGCGTTTGAGAACCAGGTGCATCTTATTTTTTCCTCCTCTAGCTCGTACACAGACTAGCAACTGGACTCTGCTGTAGTTCCTCAAGGGTGTGTATAGTCTGCAATACTCCCCCCTTCTCTTTCAACCGGGCAGTGCTAAATGCGAAAATTCAAATGAGCATATGGCTGGGAAGCAAAATATCTACACCACTACAACACAGATCACAGGGCAGATATAGAAAATGGATAATTTGGGAAAGGCGCATAAAAAAGGAGAAAAAATCCCGCCTTCCGGGTTCAACCCCCAAAGCTGGATGGACTAAGCGTCTTTGTAGATATTATTCATTACTGGCATCTAAAAAGTTATTACTATACTCGAGCTCGTAAAGGCAGAGAAAAGTGAAGATCTCATAAGACGACTTATTTTTAAAGGAAGATCTGCATAGATTGCATATTGGTGTCGTTTTTATTGCTTTAAGAAAGTAACATTCACTTCAAAGGTTAAAACGGGAAACATGAATACGGCAACACTGTACTAACCGTAGCACACATTGCTATTTAACAGGTAAATTACCTGTTGCTTAATAGGGTTACTCCTACTGTGTCTTTCTTTTAAGGGAATTTTCCCATAAGGATGGGAATGGTCCCGTAAACTGAATTATTAACAAGCAGCTTGTCGCTTGTTTAAAAATATATGTAGTCATTAAATTCATACTTAGGAAATATCTAACAAGATAAACATAAAAAATGGTAAATGTATTGTATAGTGATATTGTCGAGCAGTTTCATCCAAACTTTCTGTTGTACAAAGTGAGTTCCGAAGGCTAAATATTCAGCATTTTGTAAGGAAATGTAAAGGAAGCACCGAAGGGATAGAAGCTACTATGCAGGTATTTTAACAGGCCTCTCGACGGTAGAAATTGCTTATAAATGTGTTCACGATGGCAGTTTAATACGTTTATACAACATACTAAAACCCCAGAAATAACAACGACAAATATTATGATCATATTCAGATATTTCTGCCAAAAAATCATTTTCTACGTTCTATTTACAATATTGAGCTAAAATGTAACCACCAGAACAGCTACAGAATATGAACTATTTTGTTGTCAAACCCCAGAAGAAATGAATTTACGTATACGTTTAAGCCTAGTTTGAATTGCAAGTTATGCCTTTTTTACTTTTAAGCGCTTATTTGGAAAGTTTTATCATTTTCAATGCGTATCCAGTTCCAAAATATGTTTATATTGTTTGCACCCAAGATCAACTTTTTAAGTAGATTATTCATCTAAAAAAATCACCCACGCTTCACATTCAACCGATTCTTTGTAATCAGAGTGGAACAGCAGTCTTAAAAACGGTGGGTTTGCATCAGAACGGGGTCAAAAGGGGGCGCTATTTCCTCTAAGACCGGCACTGCAGTAACAAGAGATACAGGTAATTTGGGAGGTGTAGTTTGCTAACCTTTTCATCACTAAAAATTAAAAAAGATATCCTTTGTTCAAACTCTCTTTGTATGACGTGAAGTGTATATGCTTCTAATTAATTATTCAGATTAAAACTTAAAATACCTAAACATTTACCATCTATTTCAATTTTAAAAGAAAAAGTTTATTCAGTATGTTGTACGTAAGAGTTTCAAATACTGTAATTAAAAATGAATTTAGGATGTACTGAACAAAAGTCCCTCCGCAGCAGTTAATTAAATTAAATGTTGATTTTTTTTTCTGGAGAAAGACTTGTCTGAAAAATAGTTTCTAATTGTTGTGATACTGTCATGATCATAATCCCTCCTCTTAAGGGCGCTCTGGCTCTTTCACATTTTGCAGACTCCATGCACCTGCCCTCAGTCCTGCCTCTCATTATATTAGCCAGGTGCTCTCACCACTCTGGGCTCTGCATTGGAAGATGGATGCCGAAGGCCCGGCTACCATCAAGTCGCCCTACGTCCGCGGCTATCGGTGTCCTGACCCTGCTGAGTGCTCAGTGCGCCTGGCCTCATCATCCTGTTTTTATTTCCCTGTCCCTGTACCGGATCCCATTTCAGTTTTTAACTTTGTCTTGTTTTCGTCGCGGATGGATCAACCGGATTAGGACCTTGGACTTCGCCCTGGACGTCCCCCTGGACTCCGCTGGACTTGTTTGCCGTGGCCACTCCCCCCAAGCACCAATTCACTGTTGTCACGCCCCTCTGTTTGTCAACCTGCCCTGATGCTCGTCATCTCCTGTTGTCCTTTTTCACTCCCTTCCGGATTATACCATCTGCATAGGGTCGAGAACTACGCTCCGTTACACAGTACTGTTATCAGACCTATATGAATGCAGATTAATACTGACAACAAATTTAATTTTACATTTAATCCAGATCTTTAGAGAGCCGCAGCATGGCCTTCCACAAAATACTGCATCTATTGCTCTGTGCAGAGTTACATTTGACCTTGGGCCAGTCAATGCTGGTGAAGTGATAAATCCATCTGCCAAAAAAACACTTTCATTTTGCCAGATATCCATGTAATCTAGGAGATAATATAATATATGTATTATATTATATTAATATGTAATATAGGCTTAATCAAGAGTGCTATAATACTATCTGTCTCTAATATGTAAAAACACTTGTCACGGTTTCTCATGATTTTCATGGCATTGGTGTATTGGATTAATGTTAGTAGAAAAAGCTGGGTATGGCAAGACATTGTTTTCTTCAGGTCATGCCATTGTAATCTTAACAGTGTGTGGTCTTGCTGGAAAACAACATTTCTAGACTGGCTTGCAGGTACAGAAAACTGTTGAGTCAATAATTTTGTTACTGACTAGATAGGCTACCCTCCTATTGGATATAGGAATTCCTTCCTACAGTATATTATCCCACTTTCACTGACCTACTTAAACAATACAACATGTGGAAAACATTTTCATACATATTCTATCACCTCTGTTAAGGGCAAAAGGCATTCATGAATAAAATCTTCTAGCCTTATTCGCCTTCACCTCAGGTATTCTGTGGTACACAGAATTTTTCAAATGTGTTTCTTACCCTGAATATCCTCTAGACATGCAAACCATTTACACACAGATGGTGAGATACAGTCAAGTTGTTGATAAGAGCATTATTTCATCCTGGAATTTCTCATTCTCTGGACATTGCAGTCTGAAAATTGCATACTTGGATTGCACAGATGGATGAAGTGGATGTTTGGACCTAGGTTGATGTGGTAATTGTCTGCCTTTCAATCTTCTAACCTGTACCTACAGAATGTTTTTTTCTGTTGGTTGTTAAAACAAAAATGCCATTCTCTTCAATCATGTCAATTACATCCAGGTATCTTTATTACTTTCTGCCACTTTTTATTATTTTCTCTTTTCTAGGACATGTTCGTAACTCTAATATTTTTGTTTAATTTAAATTAATTTTGTTTTAAATGACAATTTATGTAGATTCTTAATCAATTTCGCAGTTCTAATTTACCCATAATACTAGCACTGAACAGTTATTTATGAAATCTGATGTCCTGAACCTAGACTGCCATTTTCCAGTGGAAAAATACTTCTTAAAGGAAACCAAGAAACCTACGTGCTATTTAAAATATAGATAAAATTATATGTGCATAATGATTGATTGACCTGAAATCTGAGACTGTGGTACATTAATTTTGTGTCCAGACACATTATATGAGATTTTTCACACAAAAGAAATTATAATAAACAATATCCTAAACCAGGGGTGCTCAACCTTTTTTAATGTAAGATCTACTATTTCATTTTCAGTCCAGTGCGATCTACTAGTGTGAATTTGAAGCTCTGATATAGGAAAAACTGTGGGCACATCAGTACGATAACGATAACCTTAAAAGACAGCAAATAAAACCAAGTGATTCATGTTATAGTGAACAAGTAAAAGGAATATCCTACCTTAATGTGAGCATTGGCACTGAGAAGTTTACTTGAAAACACTTATAATTTTTTTAACCTGTTGACACTGCTGATCATGTCGATGACACTTTTATTTTGTCCCTGCAGCTGAACATTCAGCTCACATAGCAGTTCAGTCAAATCTGTGAGGAACTCCAGAAGCCACTGGTCATCCTCTAATTGGGCATATTCACCACGTTTAGATGACTTGAGAAATTCTTTGATTTCAGGCAACAGCTGTCTGAACCTCTCCAAAAATGTTTTGTTTTTTAAATTTTCAAACAGCAAGTCAGCAGCCTCAGCAAACGCTTTTTTAAATTGTTTCTCGATAATGGGAAGGTTACTTAATGTCAAGACACCCACTTATCCTGCCAACTTTCTCTGACTAAATGGGTTAAGCAAATGACATCTAAAAGCATTTAGTGCATAGTGACCCATTTATATGAGAAGAAAGCCCTTTATTAAAATAATCAAAGCAGGAAAAAAGAGGTATTGATATCCCCCAAAACAGGTTCCTAAAATCCAGTTTTTCTGGATAAACACTTATTTATTGTACTAACTACATTGATTTTTACTGTACTGAAAGCAAACAATCTATATGTTGAATTTTAACTCTACAGAAAGGGATTTGCTTGTTTTAAAAATTTAGTAACTGGTTATTTTCAAATACAATGGCTTTCCACCACCAAACAAAAGCACAAAGAACATGAAGAATAAATTACCGAAATCTTGATTACCTTAATATTATGCATTTGTTTATTTATTTGTGCAATGATTATACTCAAAATGTCTGTATAATCAAGACAGGCACCTGAGGCAACATATCAGATATTGTGAATTGTATATATGGGAAACAAAAATCAGATTGTTCCATATCAGCATATTTTTTTCTGATATTCATCCTTGAACAGAAATAGATGGGTATCAAACTTGAAAGTTTTTCTTTAGGATATAGATGGAGTTTTTGTATGTTCTCCCTATGTTCATGTGGGTTTCCTACAGGTGCTCTGGTTTCCACCCATAGTCCAAAGACATGCTAGCATTTTAATTGGCTTCTGGGAAAATTGGCCCTTGTGTTAGTGTGTTTGTGTACCCTGTGATGGATTGGTCTCCTGTACAGGGGTTATTTTATCTTGTGTCTGTTGCTTGCCATGTTAGGCTCCAGCATTGAACATGACCCATTACCAGATAAAGCATTTTAAAATATTGATGGATAGAATTCTTAACCTTGTATATACAAGTAAAGATCACAATCACTTTTTACC